CCCCAAAACCCCAAAACCCCAACTGAATTTTTATTAGAAAATAAGAAAGCAATTACAATGATCGAAAATAATATAGAACGTGAATAAAATTAAAAAAGAGAATATTTCTTTAAAAAAATAGGCCATGTCAATGCAGTTAACCTAAAATTAAAACAAGTAGAATCCAAATATCTAAAGGCAGATGAAAACTAAGTGATAAGTTCCTCGGGATGACGACGGTTACATAGAGGAGAACGAAGATGATGATGAGGTCTACTTTGAGAAAGACGAGACTGATGACTAGAATATCGGAGCTGATATCTCTAAACTCAATAATGAATAAGTAATTGCATTAGAGGAGGCTATAAAAATTTAATAGGAAAAGGATATATTTATGCCTCTACCGCTAGTAGCAACTGGACATTCATTGCTGCCTGACTAGAAATTCGGTTGGAAGCCTGAAGCTGATAAGGAAACACCACCAATCCCACTGTGTTTTGGTTTGATCAGCTATAATTTAGAGTAGTTCAACTATTAAAAGGTGGTCTATGTTGGGCCTAGATTCTAAAATACATATAAAATGCATGAATAGTTTGCCAATAAATAACTTAAATTACCTATTTAGAAGGAAGATGGTGAAAATCTGACTGTCAACGCCTACAACTTCTAATTTCCTAAATATCATAATTCAAGCACATTTTCTTACGAAGATGCTTTCAGTTAGTTTCTTGAGCAGCTAGAAGAAGATACATCCATCTTAGAGTAAAACTTAAATTACTTGAAACCCAAGGCAATTTATGAAGGTTAAGAAGACAAAATAGACGAAATACTGAATAAGAAGGGAGGTTACTGGGAACTGGAGGATGAACTTATTTTTGACTCAAATTTTGAATCAGGCAACCTTGACTTCTCAGGAAAGGTTTCTGAGGGTGAATATGATTTGCTCATGAGGCTAGATTCGAACAGCAGATCTCATTAATGCTGGTTTTACTTCAGTGTAGAATGTATAGATGTCTGTAAAGTTAAAAAGGGATCAACTATTAAATTTAACATACTGAACTTTACAAAGCCTAACTCTCTATATATTCAGGTAATGTGCCTTAAGCTTATTAATTTTGATATTTATAGGGTATGAAGCCAGTTGCTTGGTCTCGGTAGAAATGCTCTTCAGATGGATTTGGATGGCATCGTACTGGCTCAAATATACAATACAAACTAAGTAAATTATGTAGGAATACTAGAGGTGATCCACAACAGTAAAAAATATCTGTTAATTACTTTTAGACGAATTTACTATTAATTCAGCTTTGAGTATACTTTTGAGTATGACTAAGATAAGGTCTGGTTTGCGTATGCTATTCCTTACACCTATACAATGCAGAATAATTTCATTAAATAAATTGAAGAGATATAAAATAAACCTGAAAATCAAGACAATAACATTATCTTTAAAAAAGAAAGTTTGGGCAAAAGTTTAAGTGGTGTTGATATACCTTAATTAACAATTACTGATTTCAGTGAAAATAACAAACGAAAGAAGACCATATTGATGTGTGGAAGACTTCACCCTGGCGAGACTCATTCAAGCTGGCTGATTCATGGATTGATAAGATTTTTACTTTCTGAGAACTATAAGGCATAAGAACTTAGAAAGAGAGTCGTATTTAAGATAGTACCAATGTTAAATCCAGATGGTGTAATAATCGGTAATTACAGAACAAGTCTTGCAGGATTTGATATCAATAGAAATTTTGGAGACAGATAAGCCAGCCAGAGACTAAACCCTGAAGCGTTCCACTTCAAGAGATTAGCTAGCCAACAGCAAAGACTTGCATTTTTCTTTGACGTTCATTCTCACTCTAGCAAAAAATCTATCTTTATATTCGGTCCCTATTTCCCATTACATTCTGAGCATTATCTTAAATTGAGAATATTGCCTAAACTTTTATAAGAAAGAACTCAGATGTTTAGATACTACTCCTGCAGATTCAGAAACGAACCTCATAAAGTCAACTCTGCAAGACAGACTTTCTGCAGAACCTATAATCTACCCTTTTGCTATACAATTGAAGCATCAATGATGGGATTTCTTAACAAGAATAGATAAACTGTAAGTTTGGGTGTGACATCCCTTTAATATTTTGGCGAAAAGCTCGGAGAAACTATTTTAGACTGGTTCCTCATTATGGAGTAACACTAAAGAGAAAAAATCAAGAAAGCAATTATGATGAGCAAGAAAAGAAAAACTAGAAAGAGGACGATTATAGATATCTTGGGAGAAGAAGATTATGATGAACTCAGAGAAGAGATTGATGACCAAATAGTATTTCATGACTAGGAATAGGAAAAGTAAAGATAACCTAAGTCAAAGTCTGCATCAGGCTAAAGAAAAATAAAATTAAAAAAGAAAAACATTATAGGAGCTGAGAGTCAGAATGCCTAGGGCAATTCATAACTATTCTCAGAGGAGGCATCCTGTCTTACTTCTCTACAAAATCTCCACTAAAGTAATATAAATTTCAAGACTAAGGAGCGCATTTAAATAAATGAGTAAGCTGATTAGAATCGAGAGTCTTAGAGGGATATAGATTCTGATGATGAATAGGATTCCAATACTGTCAGTTTTGCTTTGCAACCTAAGATATTTCAAATCAAGTAGTAATCTATAACAAATCAAGCAAAGTCAAATAGGGGATTTCATGTTCCTAGATTAGCTGGGTTTGAGTACCTTGAAGGTCCTGATAAGAAGCACCCTGAAAATAATATGGATAATCTTAAGAACGATCCAAACTTCTTGGATGACTCAATATTCGTATATGAAGATTAAGCCAATCATTAAGAAGGGGATTAGCCACTCAGAAGACTTGAAGATATAGTTGGGGATATCAAGAGAGATCTAGTAAGAAGTAACCATAATGTCAATAATGGTCTATTAGGCGAAAATAACGATTAGCAGTTTTATGATGAAGGCGACTTAGACTCATAGAAAGGTTTTTCTTCAGATGATGAGGAAAATCCTAAAGAATTCGACCCGATAGATGAAGACCAAATTAGGATGCAAAGTTTGTTGCTATCTTATTTTCAAAATATCTCGAAGAAGAGTAATCATATGACTAATTACAATCCATACAAGGCTTAATCTAAAGCATAATCTAAAATTAAAAATGCATGATAGCAAGCGGTAGCTAATAATGCTGATTTGGTATCGACCATTTTATCCTCAGATGGCTTTAATACTCCTGTCAGATAGTCAAAAGCTGGCAAGCATAGAAGTATCGGAGTTGATTCTTCAAGTCTTCAACGAAAAGAGATTGTTTATTAAGTCAAAAGGTCATAAGTAGTTAATAATCCTGTTAAAAAGTAAGAAGAGAGGAAAAGACATCAGAGAAATTTACAAGGAGTCTTTTATCAACATCAGACTACTTAAAATCAGATAGACAAGGAGCTTTCTTATACTTTAACTCATAAGTCCAACCAAGAATTCTTTGAATTACTTAAGAAGTATATATCGCAACCAGAGTATGACCGGCTTCATGAAAACATCTAAAATTAGAGAAATGTTGATAAAAGTCCAATCAATAGTAATAAGAATAAAGCCGCTCATGGTAGCAGGAATATAGGTTCGCAAGAAAAGTAAGATAGCTGCAATATTAGTAAAAATAAGACATTTGAAATGCCCTCCTAGACATTATAAATAAACAGGCAAAGAACAATAGTAAATCATACGAGTTTAAGAGCAAGTTCTCAATTTGTTAAATAAAATAATGTAGCCAATACTTAGCCTAACAAATTGAAAAACTTTGTTTTATATGTAGAAGGCTAAAGCAAGGAGAGACATCCTTCCTAGCAAATTCATATACGATAAAGCACTGTGATGGATGGTAGTTTGAATAAGTCTAAGAATCAGTAGCCAAGCCTATAAGAGGTTTTGAGCAACACCTATTAGGTAAATATAAGCAATGATGGTGAATCATAAGGTACCCAAATGCAATAATCTTGGCCAGTTTAAGATACCTAAGTCACTTCAAGTATCAGATAGAGCCAGACTTCATTAAGATTTAATTCCAAGACTAAAAATACCATTCACAGTGGAGGTTAAAATCAAAGGGCATTCAATAAGATTAGTCTAAAGGGGACAAGTCATGTATCTAAAAAGGTACTACTAAATCTATCAGGCTAAAGGACTATAGTTAAGCCTAATCTTCATATTAAAAACAAGTCACTATTAATTGACGATAATCGAGATTACTCCTCGATCGGATAAGTATAGGAAGTAAACAAATATTTTGGAAAGCACTCTAAATAAAAAAGCTTGAATGTCAATAGTAATACGAGCCTTAACAAAACCAATTCTGGTTTAGGCAACTCATCACTATAGAACTATTAGAATCGATTCGATTTCTAACTGTTTGTCAATCCACTGATGGTCTCAAATAATAGGTAAAGGACTGGGAATGTAGTCAACGACTTTTTATCAAGGAAAATGGAAGTAGCCTAGTCTTTTCAACAACAAACAAGAGAGTTCACCCCTTATTATATCTAATCCAGCACCTAGTTAGACTTCTCAAATGTATCAAGCAAGCCCAATTTTCATCAATCCTAGACTACTGCTTAAAGCTCTTAGATTTCAAAAAGAAGACCAGAGACTATATTCTCATAGCATACTTTAAGAACAGTTGGTCACTAGCCTTAGGGTATCCAATAATAATTTTCAAGCAACTAGTCTCAACCGCAGTACCCATAGGTCTCTCTCTAACAGCACCATCATATACAGTAACCTTAACCTATGTAGAACAAAGTTTTGATTGATCTATTAAAGCATCAAGGCAACTAAAGCAAGACTGGAATTGATAATATTTTTGAAGGGAATAGAAAAAGCGCAGTCATTATAAATCTAAATAGAGTTAAGGCTGAGGAAGAAAAACAATGAAATTATAAATATTGATGAATGCTTCGAGGTAAATGTACTAACTTATTTTTTATATGATTTCATAACTTATTACTCATCTCTAAATGAAAATTTTAATAAATACGGGGTTTTGGGGTTTTGGGGTTTTGGGG